AACCAACCAGAGAGTCAGATTCTTAGTAAGTACAAAAATCTTACCAGACAGAAGAGACTCTGTTACATAGAGTGTGTGCTCTGAATACAATGCCATAAAATTAGAAATCAGTAACAAGAAGATTCCTGAAAACAAGCTTATATATGTGGAAATCTAAAAGCACATCTAAATAAAGCCTAGGTTAAAAAAATCATAATGGACATTAGAAAATATTTACTGCTAAATAATAAATACCACATGCTAAAACCTGAAAACTGCAGCTTACGCAGTATTGAGGGGAAATTTGTAGGCTTAAATGTGTACACCATAAATTCACAGAAATGGATGAAATTCATACCTATAATGGGAATTAAAATCAGGCAGCAGAAATAGGTACTTTGCTGCTAGTATGTAAGAGAACAATGTACCACACAACACAGGACATATTTCTGAACACATACTTGCGAAAGATCCACACCAAATTCAGTTGTGGTTATCAAAGGAGGAGACAGAAAGAGCAGAACTGTCTATCCATAACCATTTCATTTCTTTAAAAAAAATAAAACTACAAGATCTAAAGATAAAGCAATATATTTTAAGGCAATTATATGGATTTTAGTGACCATTACTTCTTAATTTTTTTCAACGTTTATTTATTTTTTGAGAGAGAGACAGAGAGAGAGCGTGAACAGAAGAGGGGCAGAGAAAGAGGGAGACACAGAATCCAAAGCAGGCTCCAGGCTCTGAGCTGTCACGACAGCACAGAACCCGACACGGGGCTCGAACTCAAGGGCCACAAGATCATGACCTGAGCTGAAGTCAGCTACTTAACCGACTGAGCCACCCAGGCACCCCTAGTGACCATTATTTCTGAGAAACTAAAGTTTTCTGTGTGATAATATGTTTTCGTTAGAAAACTAGTTAAAGCTTTACATATTTAATTTTCCAATTCAAATTAGCTGTCTAGCGTTATGTATTTACATCACAAAAATGCATATATCTAATGCAGGCACAGAAACAAAAGTAATAGCCAAGTGTTTAATATATATATGAAAAAAAAGCACTAGCTGTGATTTTTAAAGTGATCAATAAGCCATAAAAGATGTATGTGTTTTCATTGTAAAAATAAGCTACTCAATGATATAACACAATTTAAAGAGAGGAAACTGTGGCCCTCGCTTTTTGATGCATATGGTACTCTTGTTAATGTGATAAACTTGTCCAGCGACCGCAGGGGCAATTCTTGGGACCGTGCACTGGGATGCTTGCAAAAGGGCATTACTGATGTGTGACGCATGTAGCTCTGCGGGTCCTAAGCTTAAAAGAAATTAGCAAAGATCTATTTTACACTTTCCTGGAAATACGACATTTGGGCCACTTAGCATTTGTGCTTCTCCTAAATTGGGACTTGTTCCGTGACAATTCCTGGGTAGCAGCTCCCATATGGCTGCAGCTAGTTGGAACACTTTGATGTATGTGGTGTAACTGAACAAAAATTCAACAGAAGTTTAAGAAAACAAGCTACTAAAACACTGGGAGCCTCTGGAGCCTTACATTCCACTCCCCTCCCATCATACACCATTCAGAAGGTTATTCTCAGGAAGTAAAACCAGTTGTGTTCCCACTGGAAACCTCAGGACTATTTTCCCTCCCACCTCTCATCCAAGAGCACACCACAATGGTCCCCAAAATATCACAGTCACTGAAAGACCATGTCAGTTTGGGGAACACTCGGTCACTGCACACGCTGCTACTCAACGGGGAAGAAACTTGACAGCAGTTTCCTAAAGCACGTGCACCGTAACTCGTAACAAAAAGAGGCCTTGATGAGAGAGGAACACACGGAATGGTCACGCTGTCACCCAAGGGGCAGGGAAGCCGGATCTTCACAAGGTTTCGCGCCGGCTGCCGGCGGCCACACGGTCTTCCCGGATGTCTCTGGGGCGAAGATTCCTAGCCCTCCTTCTGGGTGCCACCTAAACGCAGACACTGTCACGGAGACCCGGGAGTCCATCAGGACACGGCCGCCAGCCTGAGCCCACTCCCTGAAGCCAGGCTGAGCCACGGAGCGCTGCCAGCGGGAGGCCACCGTGTCCCACCAGGACCGCCGTAGCCGGCCTCTCCGGGTCCCACCCCCGAGCCCACCGTGGGAGCGGCGGCCGCACGTGGGAGCGCTGAGCCAGCCAAAGAGCGCAGCCGGAGGCCCCGCCACTAATATCATCCTCAATGGGGAAAAACTGAGAGCTTTCCCCCTAAGGTCAGGAACACAACAGGGATGTCCACTCTCGCCACTATTGTTCAGCATGGTATTGGAAGTCTGTGCCTCAACAATCAGACAACACAAAGAAATAAAAGGCATCCAAATCAGCCAGGAGGAGGTCAAACTTTCACTCTTCATAGATGACATGACACTCTCTATGGAAAACCCAAGATTCCACCAAAAAACTGCTAGAACTGATCCACGAATTCAGCAAAGGTGCAGGATATAAAATCAACGTACAGAAATCGGTTGCACTCCCATACACCATCAATGAGGCAACAGAAAGAGAAATCAAGGAATCGATCCCATTTACAACTGCACCAAAAACCATAAAATATCTAGGAATAAATCTAACCAAAGAGGTGAAAAATCTATACACTGAAAACTATAGAAAGCTTATGAATGAAATTGAAGAAGACACAAAAAAATGGAAAAAGATTCCATGCTCCTAGATAGGAAGAACAAATATTGTTAAAATGTCAATATTCCCCAAAGCACTCTACATATTCAAGGCAATCCCTATCAAAATAAC